GTGTACGACAACCCGGCAAAGGAGAGGTGAGAGGAGAGGGGGGGCGGGGAGGCGCTAGCACTGATCGATTTTTATGCGAGTTGGAAGGGGGAAAAGGCAGTTGAAACGGGTTGTCTCCTATGACTTTTCGATGGTATTGCCTTTTATAAATTTTAGATATGATTGTTTCTCTTTATGGAGGGTGGATGGAAAGGGGAGGGTATATTTAGATTATTCATTCCTGTTTTGTTTGTTTTGTTTTCTTTGCTTTTCTTTCGTTGGTTCTCCATTTATATCACTGTGATTTGTTCGGTTTCTGCTGTGGCTATAGATTATCTGTAACGTTGATTATTTATGGCCGTGTATCGTTTTATGTCCGATACCACATGCCTCGTCCGTAGCACATACACGCGCATAAATAGGGGATGGCGTGTGTGTGTGTGTGTGTGTGTGTGTGTGTGTGTGTGTGTGTGTGTGTGTGTGTGTGTGTGTGTGTGTGTGTGTGTGTGTGTGTGTGTGTGAGGGAGAAAGGGAGGGGCGTGGGGCGAGAGAGAGTGAGAGATAGAGAGTGCGTGTGAGAGAGAGAGAGAGAGAGAGAGAGAGAGAGAGAGAGAGAGAGAGAGAGAGAGAGAAAGAGAGAGACAGGGAGGGAAGGGTGGAGGGAGAGAGAATGAGACAGTGTGAGTGACAGAGTGTTGTGAGTGAAGAATGGTTCAGGTGTACCATATCCAAACAAATTGGGCCCTATGTATACAGCCCTCTCAGAAGTAAGGATATACAAACAATTATCGTAAATAACGGAAGGGTTGCCGTGTAAATAATAAAAGAAAAAAAAAGTACTGAAGATAGACAATAGCAGAATAATCCTTTCGTAACCTCACACCCCAGCCTATACACACTCGATTTTTGAAGGGTAGATACATCGTTTAATTCTGGTATTATTTTGAGTTATTATTATTTATTGTTTTTTATTATTATTGTGGTTATTGTTAATGTTAGCATTACGTATTTTTGCCATTATTATTGTTGTTATTATTACTGTTATTGTTATTATTGTATTTGTTGTTTTTCTTGATAATTACCAGTTTCCTTTCGTGTTTTGTGTGGGTGTCTTTATCTGTTTCCTTTATAAAGCAGATTTTTACCCATTATCCTTTCCAGCGTCATTCATTATTTACATCAGGGTACGGCCTCCGTCTTGCCTTCTTCTCTTCCATTTTCTTCTTTGAGGTTTTGAAGTCTTCATTATCACAATCGACATCGATTTCTATTGCGTTGAAATTTGTGACACTTCGTAGTAGTTGCAGTAGTAATAATGGTATTAGCGGTTGCTCTAATGGTAGTTGTAGTGGTTGTTGTTATTGCAGTAACAGTAATAATAGTGTTTTTTTTTTAATATCTAGAAATGGTAGCATTAGTTATGGAAGTAGCGGTAGCAGTAATTATAGTAATAGCGGTAGTAGTAATTATAGTAGTGACAGTAACATCAGTGAGAGTAGTAGCGGTAGTGGTAGTGGCAGAATTATGGAAAAGATAAAGGTTGTAAGGGAAATCGGAGAACCGAACCGATTATAAACTTTGCCTGTCAAAACCCTAGGCTTTTGAACTGACTGGAATTCATTGGTGCGTCAGCCCTGCGAAACAGCTGATTCGTCAGGATGAAGCACAAAATGTAACAAGCACAATGCTACCAGAGATTTGTCGGGCCTATGCAGTATAGAAAGTGACCTGTGCTACGGTTGAGGGTTGACCTAAGTGTTCGAAGGTACTTAACACGTGAGTGAAATGGAAGTGAAAGAAAAAAAGATAAAAAGGTAAGAGAGAGAGAGAGCGAGAGACCGAGACCGAGACCGCATTTAGAAAGAGTCCTAAAAACGAATCACGGTTCGTTCCCACCCTTAGTTTTTACGACTCCTCACGAACAAGCTCTATATAACATTGATCTTGCTCGCAACCAGCCTCCCTGCGCAAGACCCGCTGAGGTTACGTCAACAGAAAAGAGAACAACCACCATAGAACACGGTAGTTGCCGTTATCGCATCTCCGGTCTGCTTTACGAATGCTTGAGAGGAACTACATTATTGGGCTTTGTCACTGCCTCTCTCTCTCTGTGATATGGACCAAGGCTTAGCGGTCGTCAGGCGTCGCTTACGAACGCTGCACAATGTCGTGTCGTGTGGAACTTACTAGAGTGTATGTTCTGTGATTAAGTACATGGAAATGTAGGCATGAATGTCAGTGGAGATTGGGGCCTATTGTAGAAAAGATCAGGAGATAGGGGGAATTGGAAAGAAAGTAAAAGAGAAGAGTTAGAAAAAAAGAGCATAGTAAAAATAGAAATAGAGAGGGGAGGTGAAAGAGGGCTGTAGGGGAAAGGTGAGTGAAAGAAGGGGAGCTAGGTGAAAGGGGAGTGAAAGAACGAGCGCTGAGGAAGAAGGAGTGATGGGCAAGGAGGAATGAAAGAAGGACGTCTGGGGAAGGAGTAGTGAGAGAGGGGGTATAGGGGAAGGGGGAGTGAAAG